ATTGCATACAGAGAATTTAAAAATGTCATAGGAGGAAATTCTCTCCCACTTGTACATTTATTTTAGTATTCTTGAAACCAGATATATCATTACACTATACAGCTGTTTAAAACTTCAACAACAATAGCATTTTACCTTGTACCTTGTCTGTTACATATATTAACTTTCCACGAAAATTAACTAGGGCAATTTAATTTAAACCCTTACTTTTTTTCTGACAGAAAAAAATAAATAAATAGTACTCACTTCTTCCCACACCTTATATAGTTCTATTGAATGCAAATATTAATTTCTTCACTATAGGAATTGAAGTTTTACAAAGACCATATATGTGTAGTCTTTATTCGAATTAAACACTTATATTTAAACCATTATTTTTTTTTGCCCTTTATTTTTTTTTTATTTTCAATGCTGCATTTGGATTTGATGTACCAGTTATGTACATACCAACACTACAAGAAAAAAATCGAATTAGCTAGGGATACCTTTTTTTTTAAGTAACAAACGAGCTCGCAGCCAACTATCTAGGTGCACTGAGTAAGCTTACACTCTCATACATAGTAGTTTGCAAACTATACGACAGTCGTAAACCACACTAGGCTAACCATGTGTGACAAGTTTAACCTAGAGATCGTTGGCAAAGGAATTCGAACATGGGTCAATTGTCACAGATTTACTTAGCTGTCACTAATAACTTCTTTTTATACAGACTTAAAGTATTAGTGATATGCTTCAAATTATAGTTACAAAACTTTTTACCTAATTATGTAAAAATTAGTGTTTTAAGAAAACGACAAAAGATAGGTCGAATTTGTAGAAGCAATTAGGATCAAGTTCCAAGAAGCAATAACAATGTAGATGACCTAATTACACCACAGAATCTTGAAAAGGAAAAACCCCGTGTCAAGAACTGAGCTATTGTAGACTAGTACTCATTCAAAAGAATATTAGATAGATCTTTCAATAAATACATACATATATACATATACGTGTATATATAAATATCATATCAT